AGCCTGCGCGTTGCCCCCCGCTGCCCCCCTTTTGCGAAAGTGCGGGGCTTCCCCAAATACCTTCGACGCCATAGGTCATCTCGATCGACGAGAAAAGCCTCCGTGCCCACCTGCCGTTTTTTCAAAGGTCGTCTGTCCACCCCGGATATCCGCACCCATGCCTCAAAGGTCTCGACCTTTCTCATCCTGGATCCATCTCTGATGGTTTACCAGGGCCTGAGAGCTGCCCTTGGAAGCTGAACCCGAGGAGGAACCCTAGGATTGAGACCATCAGTCCGCTGGAGGTCTGGGTGCGATTCGGGTGGCACCCTGGCACCTCTGGATGCTTTCCGCACCCAGGGACGAGGAGGGGGGAGAGGAGGATGAGGAGGATGAGGATGCGGATGAAATGAGGATGAGGGGGAGAGCCCGCACCGGCCTGTGGCCGTCTGGTTTCCCCCGTCCTCTGCGGAGTCTCGGATGCTTTCCCCCGTTTGCCCAGAAGAGCCCGCGCCGACCTGTGAACAATTGGTGGATCGCGTTCGAAGGAATAAACGAGGGGGGAAGGAGCAGCAGCGATCTGAGGCCGAGGACGAGGAGGAGGAGGAGGAGGAGGAGGAGGAAGTGGAAGAGGCGGAGGAGGTGGAGCAGGAGAAGGTGGAGCAGGAGGAGGAGGAGGAGGAGGAGGAGGAGGAGGAGGAGGAGGAGGAGCAGGAGGAGGAGGATTAGGAGCAGGAGGAGGAAGAGGAGGAGGAGACTCAGGAGCAGGAGAAGGAGCAGGAAGAGGAGGGGGAGGAGGAGGAGGATGAGGAGGAGGAGGAGGAGGAGGAGGAGGAGGAGGAGGAGGAGGAGCAAGAGCAGGAGCAGGGGGAGGAGGAGACACACGGGTGCTGTCCGCAACCTGGGACTCCGCTGCGCAAAGCCCCCTGGGCGCCCGAGAGGCGAGTGGCGGCGGCGCGGCGGCTGCGCGCGCTGCGCTGGAGGCACAGCTGAAGGATCTCTTGCGAGGGCTTTTTGGTCCGACGCTCGGGCGGGCGGCAACGTCGCCTTGACAGAACCTGCCCTGGGGTGGACAAAACAACAAAACGAGCCTCCAACAGAACGCCCCGACTCCCGACCCCAGAGAGACCTGGCGGTCCTCGGCGGGCCGCTGCGGCTGCCCCCCGCGGGCCCCCCCCCCGCCGCTCTTCAGGACCTGGACCGGGCGGCGGCCTCCGCGGGCCCCTCCGGCGCCGCAGCGCTCGCCGCCGAGGCGGCCCGCTCGCAGGAGGGGGGGGGGGGGGGCGGCTGCGAGCGGGGGGGGGGGGCTGGGGGGGAGGGGGGGTGCAGTCAAGCAAGATGGCAAGGATGGGGCAGCTTTCCAAGGCTACCCTTGCATCCTTGCCCCTTCGGTATTATTCGGCATACTCCGGCAGTCTGCTGCGCTCCGCACGGGAAACGTCAACATGGCGTTCCAAGGCCTTTGCATCCTTACCGCGCATCCTTACTGTCCTGGTCGAGTGTAGGGGGAGGGGGTGGGCTAGGCTTCTCAGAAGCCCCCTGCTTCTTAGAGGGCCCGGGCCTCGTCTGCAGATGTAAGTGCGGCGCCTTCTGAAGAAGCAGGGGTGCTTCTCAGAAGTCTTTCCTCCCCCCCCCCCCCCCCCCCCCTCTGCGCGCCGCCATGGGGCGGCCAGGGCGAGCGAAGGGGAGGGCCCAGACCTGCTCGCGTCCGGAAAGAGAATCACGGCGGGAGTTTTGCGTTGCTATGTTGGGCTTTGGAGGGCCTCGCCTGGCTCCCAGGACTGTCCAAACACGATTGCAGGGATGGAACACTGGTCCAGTAAGACTCGAGCACACCTAGAACTCGGGTTTGCCGGCGCTTTTTTGACGAGCGCGTCCTGGATTTTGGCGGTCCAGTTTTCGTGGGACGTTTGCAGCGGGAGCTCGCGTCAAAGTTCAGTGTGGATCTCGTCAGCGTCATGGTGGCCCTATCAAGCCAACCCGAGTCCCCCGAAACTGAGTCTTGCGTCTCTCCGACTGGGGAAAGCGTGGGGACGTCCGGGGACGCCGCATTGAACTGAAACGGTCAGGGCATCGCATGTCTGGGGGGTGGCGAGTGCGGGGGTGCGGCAGGGGCGAGGGCGAGGAGGGGATACGGGTGGGGGTCCAGGTGGAGCGGGGGCGGCCCCCTTCGTCCAGGTGCGGGGCGGAGGATGGAGAGGGGGGGGGGGCGCCACGGAGTCTGGCTGGAGCCGGCTGCGGGTCTGAGATGGCCCAGCGCTGGTTCTGGCAAGCAGGGAGGGGGGGGGGGGAGGTTCAAGGTTTTGGGTTTGAGAAGGCTTCTTTGCCGTTTTCGGTCTCCGGGGGCCGTCTTCGGGCCCCGGGACCATCACAAGCGGATCTGCCCAGGGTGAAACATTGCGCCAGATGGAAGTCCGGGCCCCTGGAGGGGTCCAGGCACCGATTTTGAGAGGATTTGCCATTCCATATTCCCTCTCGTGATTTTCTGGCGGCCCACCCGGTTCAACCCGCCTGGCCGCCTCCGACTCGGAGGGTACCAACTATACAACCAGACTTCCCAACGTATTGAACAAATGAGGACGTTGGATGTCTGGGCACTTGCACATCTTCGCCAGGCCGATCCTGAGCCCAGAATCGGTGTATATGCCGTCCTGCCCAAGGCCAGGAGGGCTATTCACCGATCCTGTGCCAAGGCTCGGCCTGGGCTAGGGTCGGCCAGGGTGGCGTATACACCCATCCCAACAGTATCAGGGGGTTGGAGCCTGGCTGGAGTCAGGGGCAACCATAGGAGGGGATGGGTGGGCTCCAGGGGGTGAAAGGCTTCGAGGTTCCAGGTTTTTGACGTTTCCGTAGGTTCTTGCCCGCTTACCAGCCTCGGGATGCTCTCCATCGGCTTCGCCTCGCCCCAAGCGTTCTGGGGGTGTCGGGAGTGTCCCGAACGGCCCCGAAAGCCCCGGTCGTGCTCCGAAGGCCACCTGGGACAGGGATGGGCTCAGGAGGGCGACGCAGCGGCCCCCATTCGCCCAGTCATCACCGAGGGGGGCCTATCCCCGATCGATCGGCAATGCATCACAGATTCGAGCTCGATGTTTTTCTCACCCTGAGCTGGTCCCCCCGATCGTTCCCCCTCATCGAGGGTGGTCTCGCGGCTCGGGTTGGTCTGCTGCCCGGGCCTCCGGCGTACTGAATACATTGAGTACGGATGCCCGTCTCGCCGTCTCTACGGTCGGGTCCTCGTCGGGCCTGGGGGGCCTTCATCGGAAACGCCTCGGGGAGAAGGGCCGGCCGGCCCTGGGGACAGGATCAGGACTTCTGGGGGATTCTATCCTGAAGAGCTCAAGACGCCGAAGCTCCCTGGGAAATACGACACCCGTACCATTCACTCGCTGCCGCCTTGTGCCGGCCTCCTGTGGACCCTCGTCCGTAGCCGTTTCGAACATCATTCTGGCTCAAGCGCGCCGCGCGCGCCGCCCCGCCGCGCGGGCGCGCCCCGCCGCGCGGGCGCCGCCGAATGGACCCGCCCGGCGAGCCCGGCGCGGGCCGCGGCGCGGGCAGGGGCGGGCGCGCGGCGCAGGGGCGGCCCGCCGCGCCGCCGCCGCCGCGCTTCCGGGAGGTCCTGGCCGCGGAGCTGGCCGGGCTGCAGGAGAGGCTGGTGGCCCAGCTGGAGCAGGACCTGGCGGAGGACGCGGCCTGGCGGCGGAGGGAGCCCCAGCGGTCCACCGCGGACGCCCCGGAGTGCAGCGAGGCCGCGAACGACGACGGCGAGGCCCCGCGGGCCCGCTCCCCGACCTCGCCCTCCGAGCGCCCGCCGCCCGGGGTGGCCGCCTGGGCCGCGCTCGTCGACAGGCTGCGCAGGGCGTACATGACCGAGGACGGCATCGCGGGCCTCATGCAGAGGATCCCAACGAAGGACCGTCTTGATAGAGGTGATGAGCCGCTGGGGTGGTTGGCGGACGATCCGATGTTCAAGCCGCATCCGATGTGGCGGGCGCCCGCAGCAAGCCTAGGCCTGCGCCAGTCAACATCATCGACATTCGCGGTTTCGCGCGTCAGTGCAGGAGGCTATGGTAGTGCAGACGACGGGTATATAGCGAAGAGGTCAGGGCACTTGAGCGATATGTTCACCATCCATCCCGAGAGTGTTGTGCGATTCATCTGGTGTACTGTTGGCATGGCGCTTCTGCTCTTCGATCTCTTCACGATCCCGTTGGAAGCGGTGGGCCTGTGGACGGCCCCCCCCGCTGGGCTTGTTCTTTTCAACATATTCTTCTGGACCGTGGACATTGGTTTCCAAGCCGTGACGGGCTATCACACTGCGCACCATCTCGAGATGAGGATGACGGTGATAATGAGGACTTATGCCACAGCCTGGTTCCCGTTGGACTTGGCCATACTGCTTGTTGACGTCGCCTTCGCTATCTGGCGCTTCAGCTACTCCGCGCGTGCCGTCCGGCTCCTGAGGCTGCTACGCCTCGTCCGCCTCGCCCGCGTGCACAATATGATGGTGGCGTTCAAGGCCATTATGCGGGCGAACACCTCTGACCTCGTAGATCTGGTGGTGCAAATAGCGAAGAAGATGTTCATCCTCCTGTGTCTTTGCCACTACACCGCCTGCGCGTGGTGGGGCCTCGGCAGGTTTAGTGGTGACGCCAGGCCCGCCCTGGTGGCGCGGAATTGGGTGGAGGCACACGATCTCGTCGGCGAGGCGCCTATCTTCTGCTACGTGGCAGCGCTTCTCGGGCCGGACGAAAGGGAGGGATTGGGAAAGGGGGGGTTACGAAATTTGCTGCATGCAGCTGGTTTCGGCCTCACCGAGGGGCCCATTCCTCGATACATAGCTCCATACGGCGCCGGGAGGCGCCGGGAAAATCAGCTACGTGAGCTGATTCTCACCCCCCCCCTTTGCTATCCCCCCTTTCGCCCGACCCGAGCTTCACTGGAGCATTACCCAATTCACTCCGGCCACGAACAACATCGCCCCCGTCAATAACTGGGAGCGCGGCTTCGCGATCCTGGTGGTGATGACTGGGTTCGTGGCATTCTCATCGTTCCTCAGCAGCATGTTCAGCAGCTTGAACCAGCTGCAGTCCCTGAAGTCACATCGGGTGCGGGAGCGCCATCACTTGATGATGTTCTTGAGGAGCAAGCGCATCCCGGCGTCCCTGCAGCAGCTCGTGATGCGGCTCTCCGACCAGGAAGGGGAGACTAGAAGTGAGTGCCAGACCGAGGCAGAAGTTCCGATATTGACGCAGCTGCCGGTATCCATCCAGATCCGATTGCGCAGGGAGTCTTGTTTGCCGCTGCTGCTGAAAAGTGAGCTCCTGGGGCGCGTGCACCACATCGACCCCCGGTGCTTTCTGCAGATCTGCTACGACTGCATGGCGGACAGTCGCTACATCAGCCAGCAGGAGGTATTCCTGGACGGCGTCGAGAGCAGCACGGCCTACGTGCTGGCGACGGGCACGGTCAAGTACTACCAGGAGCGGAAGGCTACGTCCGTGATGCCCTTGCAGTGGGTTTCCGAGGCCTGCCTGTGGGTGCAGTGGAGGCACCAGGGCTCGCTGGTGGCCAGGTCTTGCTGCTCCATGGTGGGGCTTGATGCCGACAAGTTCAGGCAGACCGTCCTCAAGTCCGGCGGCGACCTTGACCGTTGCCTGCGTACCGTCGCGGTGCTATATGCTCACACGATCGAGCAGTCGGCGTGGAAGAACATGAGGCTGACAGACCTTGACCTCGACATTGAGGATACCAACGGCATCCACTGGAGGGCGTTCAAGTTCTGTAACTTAGGAATTCCATCACGTCCAACGGTTCCGTGCGAGCCTGGCTCCAAGTCTACCGGGTTCATGCAATTCTCTTCACTTAGACGCAGAATGTCAACGCTGATGGATAAGGACGAGTGGTAGCGCGCTCCGCATGGTGCTATGTTTCACGACGTGGGCCACCTGAGCTCTCGACTCTGATCAACAGGTCCTGCTTTCGCGCGCGCCGTATGTGCACCACAAGCCTTTGAACTCCCCCCCCTCCCGCGACCCAGAAGCTGCTCTCGCGCTGGGTCAGGAGAGGGGCGGGGGTTGCCTACGGGCCACCGCATGTCCTGCGTGCAGCTTCAGGCTCCGACGTTTGCAAGCGTGCTAGCCGACGTGCTAGCCGACGTGCCGCTTCACGCTTTGCATTCGTCTCCCATGTTAGTTTGAGCTCACAGCGGGCAGGCCGTCCCGCGCTGTGCCGTCCATCTGCGTGTATGACCGAATCAGCAGCACCCGCGGCGGCCGGCCGCGGCCGCGCGCCCCCCGCTGCTCGTACGCGCGGCATCGCCGGCACGTCGCAGCTCCGGGCGGCCAAGGCGTCGGCTGCGTCCGCCGGCGGGCGCTCGGCAGGGCACGGGGGGAGGGGCGGGAGGCGGCGGAGGAGGAGGAGCGGGAGGAGGAGCGGAAGAGGAGGCGGAGGAGGAACAGCAGCCGCTTGCCCTCGGGCAGCCTGTGCTGAGCTTCCTAGTGGAAATCTGCGCCATGGGAGCGGCGTGAGTCTAAACCACAGCACTCACGCTTGCTGCTCGGCTGAGTTGTCCGCGGCGACAGCGGCGTGGCCGCGAGGTTCTGAGGTGGATGCTGGCGTGCCTTTCCGGGAGCCAATCCTCCGCAGAGATGATCTTCGAACGTGGGTCATTGTCAACCATTCTGTATGTCCTGCGCAGGCGTTGACGGCGCGCCGGGTAGGCGCTCGAAGAGGGAGCGAGGCGCCTAGTTCGAGAGAGCAGCTGTTGGGCGATAACCAGAATTAATCTAGAGTGTTCACACGTTTCCTTTAGTGCTCCCTACTGGGCCAGAACGTGGCGGCTGCTGCTTCTGCGCGTTTTCTCTGCACTGCCCGAGCCTCGATTTGTATATCATGGCTTTTGCATCGTGGGAAGAATGATATCCAGTACTCACGATTTTCTTCCAGTGCTCGCTACTGAGCCAGATCGTGGCGGCTGCTGCTTCTGCGCGTTTCTCTGCACTGCCCGAATCTCGATTTGTATAGCATGGCTTCTGCATCGTGGGATCATCTTTCTCACCCGAGTGACGAGAGAGCAACGACGAACCACCACGTCTGGTTCGCGCAGCTTGACCATTTTGTCGCACCGATGGGTGCAAGGTCCCACCCAAAGAGGTCGGATGCTCGGATGCTGAAGATGCTATTGCATGAGGCTGCGCCCACGCTAACGTGATCCGCTAGGATACCCTTCGAAGGCCGAAGGGAGCAGCCTACGTCCCGATTTTTGGAGGGTAAATCTGCCAGTGCGCCACACGCCGGTTTTGGGGCTCGCCGTGGAGCCCGTGCCGCCTCGTCTCTGGCGGCCCTCGTGTTCGCTGCTCTGATGTGCAGCACCTCGTCTGATCGGTGTCGGCGCAGTTGCAAATCAGTGAAGGTGGATGCCTTCGTACTGCTCGGGGCACGGCCCCCGACCGCCTGCTGACAAGTAAACAAGTAACAAGCCCAGCGATAACTGGCTGAACAAAAATTATCCTGGCGAAGGTCCCAACCATATGCAGTTGTGGGTACCGCATTTGTGCATATCTGCTTCGGTGAAGCTCCCTATGGGGCCACGAAGCGCTGCACTGGGCGGGGGGAAACGCTGTACTGTGTGGGTGGTGTGCCGAATTGGGCTTCCGGGACGCATGCGGACGGTCCCATTGGTGGCTTCGGTGGAGCTCCCTATGGGGCCACAAAGCGCTCTCCTGAGTGGGTGAAAATCGGGATGCATGCGTACGGTCCCACTGGGGGATTCGGTGGAGCGCCCTATGGGGCCACGAAGCGCTGCACTGCGCGGGCGAAAATGCCAAATTACATTTCCCGGACGCATGCGGACGGTGGCACTGGGACTTTGGGAGCCCCCTATGGGGCCACGAAACGCTGTACTGGGTGGGTGAAAATGCCAAATTGGGCTTCCAGGACGCATGCGGACGGGGGCACTGGGGCCTTCGGTCGAGCTCCCTATGGGGCCACGAAACGCTGTACTGGGTGTGCGGGACGCATGCCGACGGTAGCGCTGGGGCCTTCGGTGGAGCTCCCTATGGGGCCACGAAACGCTGTACTGGGCGTGCGGGACGCATTCGGACGGTAGCACTGGGACCTTCGGTACGCCTCCCTATGGGGCCACGAAATTTGTACTGGAAGGGTGAAACGCAGGGAGGAGGGGGAGGAGGGCCACGAAACGCTGTACTGGGTGTGCGGGACGCATGCGGACGGTAGCACTGGGACCTTCGGTGGAGCTCCCTATGGGGGGCCACGAAGCGCTGTACTGGGCGTGCCGGACGCATGCGGACGGTAGCACTGGGGCCTTCGGTGGGGCTCCCTATGGGGCTACGAAACGCTGTATTGGGTGGGTGAAACGCAGGGAGGAGGGGGAGGAGGGCCACGAAACGCTGTACGGGGTATGCGGGACGCATGCGAACGGTAGCACTGGGGCCTTCGGTGGAGCTCCCTATGGGGCCACGAAACGCTGTACTGGATGTGCATGCGGACGGTAGCACTGGGACCTTCGGTACGCCTCCCTATGGGGCCACGAAGCGTTGTACTGGGTTGGTGAAACGCAGGGAGGAGGGGGAAGAGGGCCAAGAAACGCTGTACTGGGTGTGCGGGAATCATGCGGACGGTAGCACTGGGACCTTCGGTGGAGCTCCCTATGGGGCCACGAAGCGCTGTACTGGGTGTGCCGGACGCACGCGGACGGTAGCACTGGGACCTTCGGTGGGGCTCCCTATGGAGCCACGAAGCGGTGTACTGTGTGGGTGAAACGCAGGGAGGAGGGGGAGGAGGGCCACGAAACGCTGTACGGGGTGTGCGGGACGCATGCGGACGGTAGCACTGGGACCTTCGGTGGAGTTCCCTATGGGGCCACGATGCGCTGTACTGGGTGTGCGGGACGCATGCGGACGGTAGCACTGGGGCCTTCGGTGGGGCTTCCTGTGAGGTGGAGGAGGGCCACGAAACGCTGTACTGGGTGTGCGGGACGCATGCGGACGGTGGAGAGGAGGAGGGGGCAGAGGAGGAGGGGAGAACGCGGGGACCGTTTCTTCAAAACGAGGACCCAACACCACAGGATGGTTGGGAAAAATCTGCCAGTGGGCCACGCCAGTGAGGATAGGGATCGGTGCAACGATGTTCAGTGAGCGACTGTGACTTCTCGGGACCGCACCGTCAGTGCTCCTCTCCTCCGGCCCTCCTCGGGCCCTCCTCGGGCACTGGCCCAGAAGAGGGGCCGGCGGGCGCGACCGTCGGGGGGGGCAGCCGCCCAGCGGCGGCAATGTCGCGGGGCAGGGGGCAAGGGGGGGAGGTTTTGACCTGACAAAGACCAGCCGCACGCGTACTGGCCAGAGGTTTGAAAAACGCTTTGGCCAACGATGGAGCCGCTATTCGACCCACAGCCTCGCTTCGCGAGCGGGATCGTCGTCGTCCGAGTCGCTGGCATGGGGGAAACCGACAAGGCGTTCCCACAAGGCTAAATCAGCCTGGGAATCAGGAGGAGGAGAGTGCTCCCGTCCCGCCCACCCCGCCCCCACTCCCACACCACTCCCCGCCCCAGAGGTCTCAGGGAGGGATGGAAGCGGCGGCAATTGAGCCGTCTCGCGGAACCTCCGCTTGCGCAGCAAAACTGGAGGGCCTAGGAACAGGCCTGACTTAGGGTGGCAGCCTTGAAGCAGGTTCTGCAGCCGATAGTACCTGGAATCCTCCACAAACCGAACATAACAAAACGGGCCCAGCACGATGCAACGCATGCTGAGCAGGCCTTTCCATGCACTTCAACTGCCGCAACACTGATCGGGACTTCGCCGACCTGAGGCAACTCATACAGCGAAATCTCCTGTCCATCAACGTGACGGCGGGATCGTAACGAGAATGCGTCCTAGGAGGACCCAACCCACCCTCGATGGTGCCAATCGCCCTACCTAGCGCAGCAGCCTGGGCGTCTTGGGCCGTGACCGAACCGATCCTGCGACACGCGTACAAAACTGAGCAACCAATTTCACCGCCTGGATCGAAGACTTGCGTGCTGCGCGCAGGCCTTCATTATCCGAGTGCAGAGAAGCTCCTACCTTTGCCGACTCATCAGCCTTGGCATTCCCGAAACGTTGCCAAGCCATAATGCGCCCATCAGCCACCGCCGAGAGCGGCGTGTGGGCTTTGACATCAGTGACCTCCACCGCCTCCAGACCCCGATCCGCCACCAACCTCCAGACCTCCTTCCAGAGAATCGCCATTGGGTCGCTGGCAGCCGTGCCAGCTCCGAACCCTTGGCGCCAAATGTCTACTGGCGGCTTGCAATCGGTGCAAAACTTAAGCTGCGCACCCATCTATCTCAACGCAATTAGGAAGCTAAACAGCTTCGCGGCAGGCACAGACTGAAACAGAGACGGCAGAGGTCCATGCATTCTGGCGACCTCGCGCCAAGAAGAATCGAGAGAGCATAATTCCCAACCACATCGTCTAAGGCGGCTGTACCGCCCATGCAAGCCCGAGCCATCACCGAACACATGCACATCAAGGAGCAAGTCGTCAGTCCTCAAGGTCCAGACAGCTCGCTCTTCAAGGCACGGGCTTGGCAGCAGCCAGGACGGGTCAGGGACCAGAAGCCTGGTCCAACTTAGAGACAGGTCAGCAGCAGAACGGGCCAGCTCTAAAGTCTGGCCAGCCAACTGGTGGTCTGCTTTGTACTCACGACGATAAGCGTCATTCGAGGGGCATCCGTAGAACTGGTGCCACGTCGTGCCCCGACTCTTGCAATCTAAACAATCTGGGTCGACCGCGGCAGGGGGGGGGAGGAAGGAGGGGGGGGCGGGCGAGGACGAGCACTCGGAGGAGGAGGAGTGGGTGAGTGACCCCAGTCGCGAAGCGAGTTCGATGAACAAGACCACCGAAAGCC